ACCCTTACTGGAAAACATAAAAATTTTGAACCTAATAGAGGTAATATAAATTATAGAGGTAGAGGTATACACAACTTTGGTGGTCAAAAGTTTTTCAATTCTCTAGGGCATAGATTTCCTCAAACATGTCAGAACAATAATGGGGGACGTGTTATGCTTCAGAGAAACCAAGAAAGTAGTGTTACACCTATGTCATAAGTGAATCAAAAGTTCCAACAATATTCACATATACAATAATCAACTCAGACACCCCGGAAAAAGTATCAAATTTATGAAAAATTTAGACATACTGCAATAAAGTGTTGGTGTCGATTCAATCATATATACCCATAAAAAGAAATTCCTCAAGCTCTTGCTATAGTGACCTTAGCAAATTTCAAAGACTCGGAATAGTTCCCAAACGTCGGCGCCTCATCTCATATGATAAGAGACTTAGGTAAATTGCAAAATCTTCACCCTTATAGTGGTAGAAATACAATCATGGTTGCTAATGGTGAGCAATTGACTATTTCACATGTTGGTGATGCAAATATTGATGTTGGGTTTAGAAAATTAAATATTTCTAATATTCTTTTGGTGCCAGAGATGAAAAAGAATTTACTATCTGTTAGCCAATTTAAAAAATATTTTCTTTGTACTTTTGAGTTCTCATCAAATAATTTTCGGATTAAGGAAATGAAAACAGGGAGAGCTCTAGCCAGCAGGAGTAGAAAGGATGGACTTTATGCACTTGAGGATGTAAATGAAGCTTTATTTTCTAATCGAAATAAGAGAAAATCAGAAGATGTGTGGCATCAACGACTCGGATGTAGACACCCGCCTTGAAATTTTGGCAAAGCGAACTCTTGAAAGCCTCAATTTTGAACCTAAAAGACCACACAAACCTTAGTAGACCATAGGCAATGCCAACTTGACGTAGACCATAATAGCTTTTCAAAAGCTTAAGAATCATCTGAATCAGACATAAGAATAAAAAGATATAACAAATGATAATTTAGTCCCTGTGAGACCCAAGTATCGGGCCGCAGGCCGGGCTGTAACCCGGCCGGCCAGATGCGGCCTAATGATGCAATAAAGATCTTTGATACTGCAGTTAATGCGTTTTATGATGCAGTAAAGGCGTCTTTTTAATTAGATAAGGATAAAAGCTTCCAAACAAATCCAAAAAATTCCAAAACAAATCAAGAAAAATCACCAAGGGAATTCTATAAATATCCCCTCCATAACCCAAAAAAAGGTGACAAAAAAAAAATCACCTAGAAAATCCCGAAATTAAAAACAATTGCCCAAAAATAGGAAAAACTCTTAGAAACTTCCTGAAAAGTTAGGAAAAAATCCCAAAAATTAGAGAAAATATCATAATTCATATTCAACATCTGGAAATCCCAAAAACCTTTGGAGATACCAAAAACATTAAAAAACTAAGAAATTCTTCTCCTAATCCCAAGAAATATCAAGAAAAACCTAGATAAACCCTACCTAAAATCTTCAGCTTTTTTCCCGGCCTTAGGAACCCTAGATCTAGGTCAAAGAACCCTAGATCTACCAATTCCAGTAAGCAAAGGCATCCAAAAAATGAGATGGTCGTGCAAATCGGAAGAACGGCCTGATTCAAGCCCAAAACTTTGGGTTTCCGGTCCTTAGAGGTAAGTATCACTTTTTTTGTTTAATTTAGTTTGTTTTTTTTCATTTAATTCTCTCTTCTTTTTTTTTTTTCTGAAAATTAAATTATTATTAAATTTGATTAAATTTAGAAGAGTTTTTAAGTCAAAATATGGATTTGGAACTGACGCTGCTAGTAGATTCAGAAAAAGAGCGGATTTGTATAAATCTGGGATTTTTCTGAGCCCATAATTCAAGCGACCCCACTTTCTCTACCTTTTAAAAAATAACTCTATTTTTGCTAAGATTTAAGCAGATCTCAGCGCAGATCGGAGCGTAAATATCAGACATCCTTAAAATAAAGTATTCTGCTACTTAGAATCTAAACAGTTGATTAATGTTGATACATGAAATAAATCTCATTCTGTTTGTACTAGCTGTCAGATGAGAAAAAGTTGTAAACTTCCATTTAGTAGTACTGATAAAACCTCTACATAATCTCTTTTTAATAGTCATTTAGATTTATGGGTTCTTGCTCCAATTTTATCTAATCAGAGTCATCACTTTTATGTGGTGTTTGTAGATGATTACATTCCTTTTTCTTGGATTTATCCTTGGAAAGAAAAATCTAAAATTTTCTCTACATTTGTGAAATTTCATCGTATGGTTGAAAGGAGATTTGAGAGACGAATTCGAATTTTTTAATGTGATGGAGGTAGTGAGTTTGCCAAGAAAGAATTCATTACTTATCTTATTGAGAATGAAATTTTGCAACAGATATCATGTCCAGGAACCTGTAAACAAAATGGAATAGTTGAAAGGGAACATAGAAATATTATACAATTGGGTCTTACAATGATGTTTCATGCAGAAATTCCTAAACGGTTTTGGGTTGAAGTTTTCTATACTGCAGTCTTTATAATAAATAGGATTCCCTAGGCCAATTTGTAAATGGATTCACCATATTGTTTGTTGTTTCGTTGCATACCAGACTATTCTTCACTCCGGATTTTTTGTTGTCGATGTTTTTCGTACATTCAAGACTATATTGTAGATAAATTTTTCCCTCGTTCTCTTCCATGTATATTTTTGGGTTACAGTATTCAACAAAAGGGTTACAAATGTCTGCATCCACCTACTACATATGTCTGCATCCATCTACGGGGAGAGTCTATATCTCTAAAAATATTGTATTTGATGAAAATATTTATCCTTATACTGACCCCAATTCTTTGTTTGATAGTGCTCAGGTTCAGGGAGAGTTGTCCACCTATACAGAATGGTCAGAGTGTTATGAGCCTGACATACAGACTCATTCATCTTCTGATTCATCATCTCCAAATAAAGCACTCATATGGGACACACTTGATCTATTTGGTTCCTCAGGTCCTGCTTTGCTCATCACCAATGATAGCTCTTCAAATTCTTTTATAAAAGAAGATGCCAAGACTACAACAATCCAAGATGTCTATGATGATGCAACACACAATCATCATGATGAAAAAATTGTCAATCAAGAAATCAACCAATCTAATTTTATACCAGCCTTTGAGCATTCTCGTCATCACATGGTCACCAGATATCAAGTGGGTACTGAAGACCTCGGATTTTCTCATCCATGACAACAATCTCAAGCACTCCTACTTTTGAAGCTATGCCTTCTGAACCTAAAACCATTAAGTCTGCCTTGGGTCATTCGGGTTCGCATCGTGCGATGGAAGAGGAAATTGAAGCCCTACATGTTAACTCAACTTGGAAGCTAGTTTCACGTCTTCCAGATATGAATATTGTTGATTGTTGTCGGGTTTATAAGGCTAAATTAAAGTCTAAGGGTAGTCGAGAGAGACTTAAGGCCAGACTAGTTGTTAAATGATACAATCAGGTTGCTGGAATTGATTTTTCTTAAACATTCAGTGTTGTTATTAAACTTGCTAGTATTCAGATTGTGCTCATCATAGCTATTGTACGCCACTGGCCTATCAAATAACTTGATGTAAAAAATGCTTTCTTACATGTCTTTCTTAAGGAACTTATATTTATGGAACAACCTCCTAGATTTATAAGCTCAAAATATCCACATCATGTTTGTAAATTACAAAGAGCTTTATGTGGTCTCAAGCAAGCACCACAGGCTTGGTTTGATCGATTTAGTGCTTATTTATTATCATTAGGGTTTTATTGCAGTATAGTTGATTCATCTGTATTTGTTTCTCCCACTACTTAAGGCATTATTATCATTCTCCTTTATGTTGACGATATTATTGTTACTGGTGTTAATTCAAATCTTTTAGATGGGTTCATTTCTAAACTTGGAAAGGAGTTTGCAATGAAAGATCTTGGACCTCTTCACTATTTTCTTGACATAGAGGTATTTTATTTTTCAGGTGAGGTTTTTCTCTCACAAAGCAAATATGCCTAGGAGCTTCTTGATCGTGCTCAGATGCTCGGTGCCGAACTTATTTCAACACCAATGGCAAGGAAGAATAATATTTATGGAAATTCTGATCTATTTCCTTATCCATCTCTCGATAAGAACAATGTTGGTGCCCTTCCTCAACCACCAACACTTTTTTGTGATAATATTAGTGCTCTCTACATGACAGTTAATCCTATTTTTCATATCCGGACAAAGCACATTAAGTTAGACTATCATTTTGTGAGTGAATTATTTATCGTTCGTTTATTTCCTCTTGCAATCAAGTAGTTGATATCTTCACCAAGCTTTTGCCACTAGATGTTTTTCGAGATCTTTGCTTCAAACTTGGACTTCAAAGGCCTCTCCAACCATGTTTGAAAGAGAATAATAAAAACAAAATCTAAAAATATAAAATTGTATATTAAAAGATAGAAAAAAGATATTGCTTTTTCTTTTTTAGAAGAGAATATAATAAGATAGAAAAGTGTTACACTATTACATTATATTATATGCATAATGATATGCATAACGAAGAAACATCGACAAGGTTGTGTGGGACAATTATTTTGTCAAAGATTTCCTCTCTAAAATTTCTTCAACTCTTAAATTTTTTCGATTGTTCCAAACAACATTCAAGGTTGCGTGGGACAATTATTTTCTCAAAGATTTCCTTTCTAAAATTTCTTCAATTTGTTCCAAACATTTGTTCATCGACAGTTTTTTTAAAAAAACATATATGAAATAAAAAAAAAATTATTCCACGCAAACTAAACCGCGACCATCTTAAAGATAGATGCAAATAAGTGTTCCATCTAAAAGTAATAAAAACTAACTGTCCAAATATTTTCTTACTAAAATTATTATTTTTAATTTTTAAAATTTACATTCTTTTTTTTCCGTATTCATGATCTCTTTATGATCTCCATATTAAAGATTACGTATCTTTAAAAATTAAGTCCAAAATAAATTTCCATCTCAAAAACAGATTTATTAATAGACACGGATTTCTACATATGCGGGCTTGGCAGCATGGAAACCAGGTCCGAAACAAAATCACAAGATCACAATAGAGAGCAAATTGCTCACGATGTAAACTTCTTTGTAACACCATCTTCTGAAACGACTCGTATTCTGCATACCACTAATAACTCAATTTCCACAACTAACAACTCACATTCCACAAAAGAAAAGGCAAAAGACAAAAAGAAACAAGGATTTTCTATCAAAGCAATTTAACAGGACAAAGGTACAGTAAGGAATAACAGAGCAAAGAAGATCAACGCTTCCTAGATGCCGGCTCCTTTTGGGCGTTGAAGTAGACCGCCGCAACGGGTAGACCTAGCCCTAGGCGTGCAGCAAAGGCACGGGTGCTGAAGTTGTTGCGAGCCTCTGGTGCACGAGCGACCGAGCCCAGTGGGCCTTGTTGCTTGAAAAGAGAGAAAACATAGCGATGAATTCCGGTAGGTGGCTTCGGCCCCATGTACGACACTATCTCTCGACCTGTAAGGCGTCAATTCCTTTTTATGTCTCAACTCTCAATCCACAGGGATCTTAGCAAGGAGGATAACTACTGACCAATTTTTTTGTTTTTCAATTCATTTTCAATTTCCTCTCAGAAAGATTTTGGCAGTATTTAAAACTCCGAACCGGGTTTTAGAAGCAGTTTATCCAATGATTCGGACCACCCCAGCTGTCAACTTGTGGCGGGCACAAGAGATGCAATGAAAATAAAACCACTTAAAAACCAAAGACCACCACCAAGAATGGGATTGCCCCCCACCATTTCTAAAACACAGTAGCCGGCTGTTAGTCTGGCTTGAGATTTTTGGACTTAGATTTAACTTTAAACAATCAAAGAAAAGATGGCTATCCAAACTTTGAAGGAAGATTAAAATTTCGGCTTCAAAAAACCTCAACAAGAGATAAACAAATTAAAATAAAATAGCTAAAAAAACCAAGGACACAAAGGTCCTCCAGGGCCACCAAGAACAGGAATGCTCCCAATGGTTCTAAACACTGTAATCAGCAATTTGTCAAGGGAGGATTATCGACTTGTGTTAACCTTAAACAATCAAACCAAAGACGCATATCTAAACTCTGCTGGAAGATTAAAGTTGTGGTACAGGAAAACCCTGCAACTAAAACCCAGAAACTTAAAAGCTTAAAAACCAAGAACGTGACTTCATAGGCCCTAAGAACTGAATTTCCCTCATGAGTCGGGCTAGGGCTTGAGTGGTTAGCAGCTGACATTTAGCTGCATTACATCTCAAGTTCAATTTAACTAAAAAATGTGTCCACAAGAGATACAATTCAACGGGGACCTTGAGAACCAGAATGCCCCCACTAGTTCTAAAACATTGATATGAGCCGTTAAATCTATGGGCGAGTTCTATAAATTCCTACAATGTGTAAAGATTAAAAATTCAGTATTGAAAACCCCCACAAAAAAAAATCTTTTCGTACTACTAATTTAGAAATTTAAAAATCCAAAAATCATGCAAAACAAGCATATATCCAAAGACTTGAAAATGAATGGTCCCTTGTATTACAAGAGGTATTGTTTTCGAAATTGAAATCTGTTTTTATATCATACATGTCACAGTTATGTCCCAGTTAAAATGATCAATTAAACAGTTCTCGAGCACCGACCAAGCTTTTCAGATGAGGTTTTTGTGATACACCTCACTTACAGGGTACAATGTTTAAGCCTTACATAAACTTCGTTTCACTTTTATAATCTGTTGGATCGTATACTAGGAGAACATTTAACATTGTTACAAAGTCGCATTACTCTTAGCCATCAGTTGTTAAATTGGATGGCTTGGGGGACGTTACGAAATTCAAAAAATTCTTCTCTTCTTTTTTTAACTTTAAATCTAGTCAATGCCACATACAACACCAGATACCTACCTACAGACAAAGAGTAATTATGACCTCCTTATATTAAAGATAAATAGTCTTTTCGGTACACTCTTCCTTATCTCTTTAAAAAAAAAGGTAAAAACGTGGTAATTTTAAAAAAAGATAAGCCATGATCAGTTTATTGGAATAGAATATAATATGATCTACCACAAAGTTGCTTTAGCTTTATATCGGTTTAAAAGATTTCAAAAGGTTAAATCTTGAAATGAAGGAAACGAACCTAACCAAGAAATGATGAAGGAAACAGGTGCAGGCATGAGTGAAAGGAGTTGAAAAGGGTGATCAAAGAAGGTGAGCCCCATTTTCACACCACTTTGTTCACTTTCACATCTACCTACCCCCCTCATGAGGCCCACATACACAGTGTCCACCATCTCCTTTTATCACCATTCTACCACATGACTCCTTTCTCTCCCTCCCTCCCAAACACACACACCAGGTCGGGATCATTGGGTAGGCGCTCTAGTTCTTCAACCGCCAAAATCACTCCACACCTACCAATATTTATTTCTATTTTATCAATTTTTAATTTCCTACAAAATTTGTTGATAAGGCTCAACAATCGGATTGACCAAGTGGGTGAGAGATTTAGGCACCTCCTCTATTTCTCAAAACACGGGTGCCAAGACATATGTTTTCAAAATACCTAACTTAGACTAATCACTAGGAGCTTCTATCACCATTCATTCCAAGTTTTCTCAACCATCCCATCTTTGGAAAAACAAGAAACTCTGACAATCGCTCCTTCAAAGGTCTTTGAAAATGACAAGATCACAACTAGTCTCGAAAAGGGACGCCTAGTCCCACCCTAAAAATGTGAGTGGAAAAACATGTAATTGAGCTTCAGTAAATACAATTGAAGTTTCAAATTTTGATATGAAAACCTTATCATTTTGTAAGGAAAATTGTTTCAAGTGGGCTGGACCGCATTTCTACAATATGTGGTCCAAAGGTAAAAACATCCATCTAGGTGGTCCATTTAAAAACCATTGTAACTAACAATCCAAATGTTTTATTGATATAATTATTATTTTCAGTTTTCAATTTTTTTTTGGTCTTCTCCATGTTAAAAATTATATATTCTCTAAAAACTAAGATCAAATTATATTTATTGCCTAACCCACGTTTCTACAATATGCGGACTAGACGCATGAAAACCGTGTCCTTTTATTATAATAAGAATCATGACCAATCTTGCTCACATTATGCCATTAGGCGTTTGTTGTCCATTTGTATTCGACTTTTTGGTCAAGAAAATCTGGCGAAAAGAAACAAGATACAAAATTTCCTGAAGAAACAAAAAAGACAGCATTTTCCAAGAACTATTTGAACATCTCATGACTTCATGACTTTTAACTTGTAGACATTTAAGAACTAAACGGCAAAATGTATGTATTAATCTTTTACAAGAATATCCAAATAGAATCTTAGGGAATTTCATTTCTCAAAATTCAAAATATTGCGATTTTGAAATATTTGTAAATTACTTGCTACCGGGCAACTAAGCAAGGGATTGAAGAGCGAAGACACTTATGGTTTCGGATTCTATATAGACCTATTTGAGGGCCATAAATTCATTTTGTTTGTTAATTTTACTTTTTTTTGGCAACTAGTTTGACAAGAAAATTAGAGGGTCCCGATTCGGGCACACCAAATAAAAAACAAAAGAAAATTCAAATTAACATTGACTAAGATACCCAAATGTTTGAGTTGTTTCATTTTGATATTTTATTTTATTTTGGCAAAGATCCCAAATAATTAGAAAAATACAGTGATAAAGATGATGATGATTTTATTTTAATTATGTTTATCTTTATTTTTATTTTATTGAGTGCATTTGTAAATATTCATGTATATTCCCATTTTCATGTAAATCAAATTTATAAATAAAAACCAAAAATAAAAAGAAACTTAAGCCATAGCAAGAGTGTTTGTTAAGCAGCGGTGGCAATTGGATAGGATTGACCTTCCAAGTCATGTTTGGGTCCATGTTTTGTGCCCGCCAAGTCTAGGTCTGGGTTTGGGTCCAAGTCCATGTTTTTAACTCGCAAGGTTCTGCAGGTTCTAGATGACTCTTGACCCACTATATATATATATATATATATATATATATA